AAGCAGACAATCTAAGCTAAGGGAATAAAAGAAAAATCAGCCTCTGTGTGCTTCTTGCTGCCAGCCAAAATGGAGTAACACATAGTACTCTTGCTTTGGCCTACCTAGCACTTTCAGTGCATTATACTTTCGCTTTTTAATAAGGTTCAGTATAAGAAAAAACATTTTTTCCCCCTGATATTGTAGTGATGGGTATTATAAAAGAAGGTGAATATGAATATAGGCTAGATAGATAGTATTTTAATTCCTGGTACTGTTAACTGTTTAAGTAGATAAATTATTTATTCTTAAACACTGCAGCCTTTTTTTCCCCCAAAACATTAGCAGTATAAAATAAGCTAGGATAGAATATTTTAGTTAAGCACACATGCAAGGACAAAAAGGTTATTTCAATTCTTCATGCAACGAACAGATCTTTAGATTGACTAAGGGATTTTCAAATCTAATTTCTTTAACAGTTAACGGTAAACCCATCATACATAGCTGTAATAGGAATGTGAGAACTTTTTAAAGAGAGCTGTAGCACTGCCTTTTCAGAACATGACTAGCTATTATGTGTACTGAGTGGGTGAATGTTTTTCCATGTGATCATGACTTTCCAAGTTTCTATAATCCTGACTCGAACATTTTCATGGAGAAGAAAGTACAAGATTTCAAACAATGTTAAGTAATCGGGGTATCAGAAGACCTTTCTAAGAACTGCTTCAGAAACCTAATCTTTATGCATACCTGACTGAAGGATTTCAGAATGGTATTCCAATCCCCTATAATGCTATTTCCATAAATGAAGACAGAATATCCTTTCAGAATCCTTTGCACCTGTACTTCAGATAGCATATACACGGAGCTTCTTTAACAAGTACTTCTACTAGTAGAAATAGGACCAATTCAAGCCAGATATAAGCAGGGATGACAACACCTTCACTCTGTCCTGTTTTATGAAACTGTTATGCGCCCTGCCTTTTTGCTTGCATGAAGACGCTACAAAAATAGACTGAAGCAAAGGAGAGCTTTTTCCTAAGGAGCTTAAACTCCATAATTTAAAGAGTATACAATTTAAAAACAAACAAACAAAAAAAAGACTCATGTATTCTTTTTCTCATGTTAATAGTTCAGAATATTCAAAATGACTAAAGGATTATTATACTTTGCTCAACAAAGACTATCTTTGCAGAATTACCACTGACACACAATGTTGAATTGACTAAGGTTTCTGTGATATGCTTTGTTTCTCAGTAGTAAATGCATATCCATATCAGCCAGTTTATAAATAGCAAATAATTGCTAGTGAACTGGTGATGCATTCATAGGATTATTTTGGTGGATTTATCTGTTCATTTCAGGATAAGCTGTTAATCAAAAAGCCAGGCAGAAACTTCAATAAGAAAAAAGGCTCCTGGTGTTGAGTTGATCTCTTGGCTATCTTTCCAAGGTTGATCCTTCATCTAAGCTTTAAAGGTTGTGAATTACACCATTACCAGTCAGGACAAGAGGAAGCTTTCTGCCACATTGCACGTCCAGTAGAAGGCATCCTTTTAATTGCATTTCACCACTAACGTTGCCCAAGATGCTGGAACAGATTTAGAGACTTTAATGGAGATATTTGTCTTTTTAAATGCCTCCTCCCCCCATCTGCTTTCATGTGCCTGGGATTAGCATAACAAATCAGACAGACTGCAAACTTGACAAATGTATTATGTCTTGATTTTGAACTGCTGTGACAATCTGGGTTTGGAGTATGTTGTTAAAGCTACTGGGCTCTGTCCTGAGCTGCCCACCTTCCTATCCACCACTAGGCAGCCAGTATGGGCGCGCGCCGTCCCGGCCCCCGGGGGGGGGGGGGGGGGGGGGGGGGGGTTCTCTTTGGTATAACACAGCCACTATACTGTGAATACACAGAGCGTCACAAACATATATAGATGACAAAGACGTTCATAGTCCATATTTTTCCTCTCAATAGTATCTGAAAAATGTCAAGAAATTCTATAATAGCTTTTCCTTTTTGTGTCTCCCTCTCCCCCTTCCACCCTAGCTCATTTTCACAGCTCAGATATTTTACAAATAGCTCACACACTTGCAAGGGCTGGGGGAGTAGGGAAGGTCCTGCCAAAACCATTTTGCAGCTGGAGAGGGAGGGTGAGATGACATTTGTTTACATCCTTCAGCTGAGAAGTAAAAACATTTTTCAAGCCTTGAAACTGTTGGAAGAGGGAGACCATCAGCCTTTCTATAATTCAGTGTTGCTGCTCTCAGGATCTTTTTTTTTTTTTTTTTTTTTTGCTATTCATGCACATTATATCCGGGAACACTTGCTGGATCTTGTTGGGGAGAGGGTCAGACACTGCAGATAAAAATGGACTACTCTCTGTGCAGGTTTCACAATTATTTCTAGTCTTCCTCAGCATGCATGCAGTTTGATAACCTGGGCTTGGGGAAGCACAGGAACCCTGCTCTCCAAAGTTGGTCTTTCTCTGTTGCTCTGCAGGGGAATGCAGCCTGCCTGGCTGGAGTTGTTTAGCAGGGACACATGGGCTCCTCACTCCTCTTTAGGTGGGTGGGGGGAGGGGACCCTGCTGCTGGCACCCAGCCTTACCTGGACATGTGCTCCCGCTGGGGTCTGTGCGCCTTCTCCAGCCCTAGTTTGGTGAAGATCCCCACCAGCACCATGACTGCCACAACCCCACAGATGATGTAGACGATGAGGTTGGTTTTATCCCTGGTGGGGTCGTGCAGAGGGTCGTCTATGCGGGAAGGAGGCTTCCCAGTGTTCATCCACAGCGGCGTCTCGTAGTTTGTGCAGGTGCTTTGATCCAGCCTCGTCTTCTTGAACTTGCAGCAAAAACTGAAGCCACAAGTGCCGCAGCAGAAGATGAACTCCCCCGAGCTGCAGTTAAAGGGGGGGTCCCACTGCCCCATCACGTCGAAGTAGCCCCTGCAGAAATCCGGGGTGGGAGGTGG